CAACCAGACAGACAGGAAAGGAAAGATTATGTATACCACCACAAGTTTCCTACTAAACCATCTTATTTCAAAAAAGAAAAGCAATATGCCTTGGTTGCTCAGTAACTAGAGAGCACAAATACCTCCTCACAATATTCAAATGCACGGAAAAACATGAGCTATGTAACTTAGGCAAAGCCCAAATAGAACGATAAGCGAACCAGATATCACCAGATGTGGAAATACAAAATTTTGTAGCATGTAATCTAGTAAAGATTAAAGGATACCTTGAAAGTGGTATCTGGCAAATTTGAATAGGATGCCTGTCAAATAGTAATTGTTAGTAACGAAGCCTTAAAATCCAAGAATTTAAACGGAAAGGAGACACAATGAGAACCTCAAGAGATTCCAAATACTCTGCCTCATGGTGACGAATAATGTTAGCTATGGAAATAGCACAATCATCAGGGGCCTGAAACAAAAATAAAGATCAACCATTCTGAAGCCAAGTACTGGGTTTATCAGGGAGTATTTGCAATAGAATCTGGGAAATGGAAAAAGTTGCTTTAAAGGACACTCAACACAGACGACCAGAATGGATGCACAAGTCACCCAAATAATCAACATTCCCCACACCAACCCTAGTAACTATAACCAGGATGTTCTTAATGTAATATTTTAGCTTTGCACCTTACCTGCTCCGAATACCTAATTAAGGTTCCAATTGAGTGGTATCATGTGAAGGAATCTAGAGACAGTCTTGCCCTTCAGCAAGATGTAGCTGCTCTCAAGATTCAAAACTTGATATGTGCAATCTTGTAATTGCACGCCCAAAACTTAGCACCAAGAAATCCCCTATCCACCCTATGTATTGTACTTAAACAAAGAAGCTAAAATCTCATGATGAAAAAATGCCAAGCTAAAGGACTTGTAGATATTGCAATAACCTGAAAGATTGTTGCATCTTTACATTCATGTTTAGCATCCAACTGAACATTTCCCTCTTCATAATAATGAGCACCCACCTGAGATAAGAAGAATGCAGGGAAAAAGAAACATCTTATACTTGCATTGTCTTACAAGTATGCAATCTGACTTACAAATAACAGTCGACAGAAGTCAATTTTTTTCATTGTACCTGTAATTTGCCTCTTACTTCTAGCATTTGTACATCTTCCTTGAACTCTATGTTCCACACTGATCGCCAACTTCCATTGCTATATGACATGCAAAAGAATATTATATGAAGATAAGCAGTCATAAAATATAGATGTTTCTGACTTGGAAGTGACATGGTATATTCAGATACAAGCGAGTGATGGAACACTAGGAACATGTCCTAAATGAAGTATCTGATAAAGAGTAAAAACTGACTGGAATTCCACTCACCAGAAATTCTGTGGGCTATTTTTAGCAGCAGAAATGACCACTACAAGTTCAAAATTAGATCCTGGTCCCTCCACATCCTTCCCATCAACACAGTAGACAGAACAGATACCTTTTGGATAAGCTTCAGCAGCATATTTGAGCATTTCTGCATCCAGGGCACAACTAGCAGAGAACAAAATAGCATTGTTAATGTAAGAATGAATAGAATACTGCCCATAAAAAAGGAACTACTCTTGGTGCACGACACCACAATTCAGGTCCTAAACAACCACTTATGCATAACGCTTTTGGAATTAGTTGTATATCTAAAGAGAAACTACAAACTGATTCTATAACTTTGCAATCCCGAAATCACCTAAAGATGCACATAAGAAAAGACAATTTAGGAAGAAAATTGTACTGAACATGGCACAATTATTTCAAACTCCAAAAATTAAACAAAAATAATTCTATATAAATCAAAAAGAAGCATTAAAAATAGTTTCTACAAGTTAAATCCTTTACAAGGAAAGATTTAGATGTAACTCATAAGCTCAGTCCTCAAACGCATTTAACTATGATTCACTCTCACAAGCAATACTGTGTGTAAGGGATAAAAGGAAGAAGATAATAATTCAAAAACTACTTGCTCAAGCACTTGAATGTTCCAAATATTATATGATATAACCATGAAGTAGGGGTAGATACTATTTACCAAAAACACCTCTCTAAGTCTACCCTCCATTAGATAAAGGATTCTAACCTCTAAAATATCCTGATCACACTCTCAATCCAGCAGAATGTGATAGGAAATGAGAGTAATAGAAAATTGCGAGGTTGAAAGTTGAAACTTTACGAAGTGATACATAGGCGAGTAATAGCTGAGAAAATGCTGTTTTCTGAAATCAAGCTCTTAAAATTTTAGCATCAATGCACTAATGACTAGAAGAACTTCTGGAAAAACATAATCTAATATTAGTAACCATAAGAGTTAGAAAGCATACCGAAATTCTTCGATATATGGTGATGAAAGTTCCTCATCAGCTGCAGGTCTCACGTCTGTACAAACCTGAACCAATTTAGCACATCACGATATAAAAGATGGACTAACAAACATATCAAAAAAAGACCAAGAAAAACAAAATGCACATGAGAGCAGACAGCAGACAAAATATGCGCTTCAAGTTTTTTGGATAACTGACTTGCTTAACATGATCAACTGTCGCCACCTGTGCAGTTCTAGGATCAAGGAACTCATTCTCTTCGAGCTCGTTATAAGACGTAACCAGCACCTGCAAATACAATTTGAAAAGTTAGAGACGCAATTAAAACTTCCACAGCTAACTGCATACAAAATAAACCAGGTTAACAAATCAATATATCTATACTTAAAAATAAACCCTAAAATAGTCTAAAAAATGATAAAATCCTCCAAATAGATAAACTACTCCACACCACACAACCTTCATGGAAAATTAAAATGAAAACAAAAGAGAATAAATAGGCCGTCACTAATGAGCCCATTATCTTCCATCCAAATACTAAACTAAACTAAAGAAAATAAACTAAAACATCCAAACAAAACCTCTGCTTTGATATTAAGCTTAGAATCAGCAAGTCAAAAACTAGCAAACCTACAAATAAACAAAATTAGCATAAAATCAAAGTGATAGCAATAAACATGGGGGGAAAATATAAAGCTTCTACTTAATTCAAGGCAAATCACGTAACTATACTAACAATAACAAAAATTAAAATCAATTAATAAAATAAAATAAAATAATTAATTGTAAAATGGAATGAAAAATCCAATATTAAATTATCAAAATTCACTCGAAAACCCAAATCGAAGCTAATAATTTAACTAATACACTCACATTTCAAGAAATAATACCAAAATTAAGCACAAAATAAAAAGACTTACATCTCCGCTTCGATTAGGTAATTCAAGGCAAATCAAGTGAGATTTATTATAAAGAGGGAATGCCTCTGATGCCGCTTCATTATACACTTTCTCATCGTTCAATACCGATCTCAAATCTGCCGAATCCAAAACTGATCAACAATAAATACGAAATGCAAAAAAAAAAAAAACAAATCACAAATGTGACCAACCGACCGACCTTTGGCGATGTATTGGATTTCACCAGCAGGTGAGTTAAGAAGAAACCATTTAGCGATCTCTCTCTTTTGCTTCTCGTTTAATTCGCATTCCTCTTCTGCCATTTTTTTCGCTTCGCCGTCTCTCTCTGTATCTTTAATTTAAACAAAAATTAAAGATATGTGTGTGAAGATATAATTACTGTGTGGATTTTTTTTTTCTTTTTAATTTTTTTGAAAAGGAAATGGAGAGAGGAGGGAGTGAGGGAGGTATGTGTGTGATCTGTAAAAGGCGAAAGCGAAATGATTTTGAGATCAGTGGGGTCGGTTTTTTTTGTGTGTGTATGATCGTGACCGTTCATTTGTTATTCCATTTTGCTGTTGTAAATACCTCTGATTTATGGACAGTTTGATACTGTGCATTCAAGTATTTTTTTATATATTTTTTAAATTTTATTTTTAATATTAATATAACATCGTCCGAGAATATTAAAAAAAAATATTTTTTTATTTTTTAAAAAATATTTTTGAAAGACAATCAGACTCTAAAGCCATACTTCGATTTTAACGGTAACGTTTAAGGTAGCTCATCACATTATTGCAAGTGAAATGAAAAATATGAAATCATTAGACAGACGACTTCAACTTATACTATAATTATTATGGTATTAAATAGAATATAAGTATTAAACGCGATATTACAAATAGTTAATAAAATTCATAGCTAACCAAAATTAGATTTTAACCAATCATTCAACTCGTGATTGCTATTGGTTAAATAAATTTTTGATAAAAAATAAATATAAAACTTTTCAAATATTTTTTTTAATATAATTATAAATTAAAAAGTTCATATATATATTTAATTAAATATATCAAAAAAAATATTTATGCTAATAAATATAAAAAATAAAGTATTAATGCATCTAAGTTAACTTGCATCTCTACAGGTTGCATATCTTTTTTAGCGTAAAAAAATTAATATAAATATTATTAACATATTTTTTAAAATTAAATAAAAATATAACCATAAATAAAAAATTAATACTTGCATATAATAAAAATATAATATAATAGAGATTATATATATTAATAAAAACATATAAAATCTTAAGCTAATTTTAAACATAATAAAAAAATAAAACAATATTAAAACTACTACAATGAAATATTATTTTCTTAATCTTTATATAATGATTTTTTAAAGAAAAAATAAAAAAAATAGAGATAAAAACAAAAAAAAAATAGTTTAAATAAACAAAGTATAAAGTGATAAATTTTTAAATTGTAATGAAAAAATTCCCAAAAAAGAGTGTAAAGAAAAATAAAAAAAAAACAAAAAAAAATGATGATAAATAGATGAAGTATAAAATGATAAAAATACAAAATATAAAGAGGAAAGTCAATATAAGAAAATTATTTAATTTCTACAAAAAAAACACTTTTCTTTTAGTGTATATATAATTTCAACAGAAAAATAATATTAACCTAATCAAACTGATTGATTATGTAAACAGAAACTGGATTGATTATCTAAACAGAAAAGGTCAGGATGATAGTCCAAGTTACTCTAAATATTATTGCATGTAATTCGTTCGTGTCGATTATTGTAATTACAAGAAAATCTTCCATCGTATGTGCTATTATTAAATACTTACAAAGAAAGAAATTTTGTCATATTCAAGTAAAATCGATATCTAAACCAAAAAAAAATGAATAAAAGAGAACAAGTGGTGGCTGGAAAGCAAGAGGATCTGATAATGTTATTTGAGAAAGAAGAATGATGGGAGTGAGAACATCTTATGGTGTATCTAGCAGTGCTGTAAAAGAGAGCGAGTGATGGCTGCCTTGAGCAGGACTTCAGCAAACGAAGATCTGATAATCAGGAACTGTGTCTCCAACATTCAAGTAGTTGACATCAACCACAACTTCTCCCAAATCATCTGCCAAGACCAACAATAGATGTCAAGCAACATGATGAATTGAAATTTGAATTTTGCAAGCGGAGAGATACAAGGTAAATGAAGCTCAAACCTTCATATATGGTCCTTGCAATGTTTACATATTCAGGTATGAGATCCCTGTATATGATTCCACCAGGACGGGCATCCAGCACGACTAGGACTCCTGCATGTCAATAACAAGATAAATTAAGACATGAGAATTGAGACCTGAATCCATATTGATTTCTAGGAACATTTTGCAGAATAGTTGCAGGATACAGAGGAACTTTCACTTTAGGAAAGACACGAGAATCCATGTGGCGCACAGCACTCTAAGGCACATCGTGTTTGATAAAAGCCAAGAAAATCAAATAGCGTCATGTGATCTTCAAGGAATAAAGATCACAGAACAAGTTCCGGCAATATACAGTCCAGACATTATTTCTGTTAAGACTTCAAAAGGAATGACTTGTGTGTCATTCACTAGTCTATCCTTCCCTCCTGAGTATTTTGAACACAGCTAACTCTGGTAACCATAAGACATGCATAGAGAAAAAGGCCAACCCTATAGAGCTCAAAGTAAAGGAGACACAAGAAACTTTTTAGGGAACAATTAAAAATAAAACAAGAAGAAGAAAGGAGGTGCATACAGCTTCACATCCAAGTATCTTTTTTAGATGCATAAATTCAACTCTGAGTGGCTTTGCATGTTGGTGGTTTCAATCATAATGAAAATGCTACAGAGATGAGAAATTACAGAGTTCATGAGATATAGGATTACTGTTTAACCTACAAAGTTTATCCATCCAGAAGCAGAACTCTGACTGTTGCAATACTACAGTAATGGCAACTTGAGAAATGTACCTGGTGCCACCCAAGCTTTAATGGAATTGCTTGGCAATGGAAGCAACAAGAGAATGTTTCGCAAATTCATTGAATCATCGTAAGTTACAGTAGAACCTGAAAGGGGGGAAGAAGTTGGTATTAGGACAACAGCCACATGTTTTCTAAGTTATATGATTTCATGATTTGAGATCAATTCCAACAGTTCAATAGAATTACTTTAAGCATTTACAAAGTCTATATGAAATAATAACAGATTCTGTTCTAGATTCCTTATAAAAAAATGTAAATGAATTTTTTTTTAAAAAAAAAACTAATCCTTAATTCAGACCTTCATGACAGATGCGATTTTACAGATTTAGGGATGAAAGAATGAAAATTGTTACAAGTGTATTTGTGTTCTTATGAGTTTTGCTGATTTACCTCTCTGGCAATATCCCATATTGTATGGAAATACTTCTTTATCATATGCGGGGTACTCTCTAGCATGGAACCTGCAAAATAAGTAAGAACTCGTCAATAACATGCAGAAAATTAACGAGCTAAATTCCATCAAGATCATAATCAAAACCATGTAACAACCATTACAAATTTAATAAAAACATTCATGCTTCAAGGAGAGACTTTCTTGAATAGAACAATGAACTCTCTCATTTAAACCTACGAAATGAGACAACAACAGATGCGGTCATAATATGTGAAACTGACTGGAGATACTACAACGTAAGCAGAGGACCGATACCTCAAAGCAGATTGGGTTTTGAACTAAAAACCTCTTTTGTACAGGATATCCTGCCCATCCATTGAATACAGGTCATATTCACAGTTACATATTCGAATTTGGTCCTGGTTGCCAAGCAATGCACATATAGGTGCATGTCCACATACTACAACCCTCGTAACACTAGTTCATGCCTTCCGGATTGAGAATGAGTTCAATTTGTTATTACATTTTCACCATTCTTTGTGAAATTCAACCTTTCAATATGTTTTTGATGTCTAATTGTGAAAATGCAGTCCTTAAAGGCACAAATGCAGACTATTTGCCGCACACATACCATTTCACATAAAATTCAATTTGCATCTGTACTGCACATAATCATTGGAAAGCGAAACGCAAAACTTACAATATCCCAAGTCTTCCTGTTTCCCTGGCAATGAAAACATGACCATGAAACAAATCATATCGATTCAAAGATACATTAAACCCAACTGACGGTCCTCGAGCAACAATGAGCTCAAACAAAAATTTAATATAAGAATTCAACTCCTGCGATTTAACAACAAAATGGTAGTGATTAACATAGAAGCTAAATTAAAAAAAAAAAACGAAACAAAAACAGAAACAAAGAAAAAGAAAAGAAACCCTTCTAAGAATGATACAAACCTCACTTATGAACCTTCTTCCATATGGTGTTCTAGTAAGCCCACATTTGTTCTCTTGGCATCGTTCAACATCAGGCACCTATAACAATATCAATTATCATAGATTTTTTTTTTTTAATCTAGACAATAGCAATAGTTCAGTTCACCTAAATTACTGCACTCTGCCACCTTCATTTCCAACAATTTCTTCCTATCTACTACGATTGATCAAAAGACATTCTTCAGCTACCAATTCATGCTATAGCAAATAATGGGTTTTCACTAGCTTAACTGGAAATTAACTTTTGTGCGAAATGATCGATTATTCCTAATAAAAATGATTCATTCTTAAAAAAATAGAAGTTAAAACTCACAGGCAAGATAGTAGGATCCAGAGCTCGGTGTATTGAAGCTGGGTCTCCACCAGAATCAAGCGCAAGCCGAGCCAGTTCAAGGACAGGTTCAGGTGGCCACCAAATGAGTTCATTCTCTTCACTCTTGCTTCTCTCAACGCTAATCGCGCTATTAGAATGGAGTCTGAGACTCCTTTGCTTAATATAACAGTCACTGATACTGTTATATTTTGGTGTTTTTGGTTTTGAAGGAGTGAAGGGAACAAGAAATTTAAGGCAAGAAGAGAGTTGTTGGGAGATTAAAGGGTTGATTTTGGAGGATTGGGTTGGAGGGCCCAAGAGGGAGAGTAGATCAGATGGCGTGGCTTTTGGGATTGAAGATGGTGATGGTGATTTGAATGGGAAGATGGAGGGAGATGATGATGAAGCTGTGAGAGAGAGGGACAGGAAAATTGCAAATCTGAATGAGCAGAAAGAGGGGCTGCCCATTTCCTCTCCCACCCAGTCTCAGTTTCCTCTCTGTATATTTGGGTGGAAACTGAAATGGTAACAGAGAGTTGACTACTTCGACTTCCCTCCAATTTTTTACATGCTGCAGTTGGGCTTCCGTGTCAAGTCACTTCCCTTTTGACGATTCATTTAAGCAATCATGGAGCAAGCCAAGCGATGATGACAGAAAGAAAATAAAAAATCAATGGACGTGGGTTTAGGATTTAAGTTCAAGAATTAGCCAATAGTCATCAGATAGCTAATCTCAAAACAGGATTCGATGCCATTCATTTGCATGCTGTCCAGGTTTCTGAGCCATGGTTGGATTTCGGCCATGAGATGGCTGGCTGGATGACCAAAACAGGATACCTCTGGGAAAAATCGGACCTTATGTTTCATGTAACATTGATCATGAGAAATTAGATGATCCAATGTCTAGCATCTGAACTCCTGGCCATGAGATGAAATGGGCTGTGCATTGGCAAGTTGCATGCCATGGTATCTAGCTTATGCCTTAGAGAACCTTCCGATTTATATCAGCTGTAAAACGACAAAGATACGGAGTGCGTTTGTTTCTATGAAATGGATTTTAGAAAATCATTTCTTAATTTTACTGTGTTTTTTAGCTATTAAAAAAAATGATTAACATAAAATATTTTTCAATTAAAAAAAATTAATTTGATTTTTTAAAAAATATTTTTTTTATTTTGGACAGAAAATATTTTTTGAAAATTATAAAAAAATTAAAAATATTATATTATTTACTGATTATATCAAATTCGATCTTTAAATTTTTTATTACTATATCTATTTTATTTTGAATATTTATTTTTTAATTTCAACCTTAGAATTTAATTTTTATATTAATTTTAATTTTTATTTTTATAATTGTTATAAGTTTCTTCCTTATTATTTTTTAATTAAAATTTTTTATTTATCAAATTTAGTCTTCATTCTTTTAATTATTTTTTATTTTATTTTAAATATTTTATAAAATAATAGTTGTTATTATTTTAATTTCATCTTTTAATTATTATTTTTTTAGATTTGATCTCTATTATTTATTTTATTTGAAATAATTTATAAAATTATATATTTTTTTAAAATTTCATTCTTATTTAATCTTTTAATTTATAAAATTTATTTTTTATTATTTTAATAAACATAAAAAAAATTATCAATAAATTATTTTTTAACTTATTTTTAATTACATAACCAAACATTAAAAAATATTTTTTTAATTTATTTTTCATACACGGTCAAATATTAAAAAATAATTTATTTTTTTTAAATTTACTTTTTTAAAAAAAAACTACTTTCTCACCGTCATATAACCAACATATAAGTTTTAAAATTTGATATATAGCTCAACAAAGAAATGGTTGCTTGAAAAGTTTGTCGACGAGAAGCACAAAATACAAACTACCATATAACTGATTGAATCTTGGGATGATCGATAAAAGTGTACAGAACTTCTATCTTGCATTTGATAGATAAACAATTTGTGTTCATATCCGAGGCTTTTCTACCCTGTAAATATGTTTTTCGACACGATTTTATAAAGGTCAGAACCAATACTCCGCATATCCAAGATGGGCTCATGTGCTGCGACAAAGCATCACTAGCTGTTCTCGAGGGCTTGACAATTCTTTCTTCCTGTAGAACTTGCATTGCAGGACCCTCCTCTCTTCTGCTCCAGTAAGGAAGAAGGAATGACACTAGAAGGGATCTGCAACTTTAATGCCAGCTGACTTGTCCCAATCCTCTGGGGGCATGACATCTGCCATTATCTTTTCCTGACCCTGCCAAAGAATCTGGAAACAATAGTGCCATACAAGGTAAGTCAACGTACTTGAACGTCCAACTGGGGTAAATAAAACAATCAGGTGTGTAAGAGAGAGTATTCTTTTAAGAACTTACTTTGTCAATGACCCCGAATTCTTTGGCTCTTCTAGAATCCATATAAAATGGTCTCTTCATTACATTAGCTACAGCCTCTACTGACTGATGAAAGATCAAGTTATCCAATTAGTTCCCAGGTCTGGTAGTTTTAAGATTAAATAAAAAGGCTACACGGTAGGTAATGAATCGTACTAACATTTCCGGTGTGCTTGGCCAGAAGTTCTGTTAGAACATCCCTGTTTATTACTGCCTGCAAAAATAATGATGACAGTAGAGTGACTATGATTTCCAGAAATATATATTAGAATTTGATTTACAGAGCAGTGACCTCAAAAAGTTCTAAATTAGCTTATTATCTCCTCATATCAGTGTAATCGGCAAAAAGAAATGAAAGATATTACGAAAATAAAGAATGCACATATAAAATCACAGTTGTTATTATGGCCCCCTCTTTTGAGTTTTGACTACCAAAGAGAGCCTGGAAAATGAGCATAGAATGAATTGGAAAGTACAGAAATGGACACTAACATGAAATAAGAGCAAAAAATGCCAAAGTTGACTAATAACCAAGACACTTTTATTCAAGCTCTAAAATGGGTTAAACAAACCTCTTTAGCACGGATAAGAACATCACTAGCAGGCATCAATCCTGATGATGGAACACGAGGCTGTTGGATCATTGCTGAAACACTTCATGTTAGATAGGAGATGGAATGATAGCATAAGCACTCTACAATTGCAAATTATGCAAGCCCACTGTATAATACCTTTTGCATGTGGCATCATGTACCGGTGACCCTTTGTTCCTGCAGCTAGTAGAAGACAAGCCTGGCCAATAGCAGCTCCTACAGCAACTGTATGTATCTGCAATAGAAATACTGTAAAGGTCTAGATGCATCCTGCAGAATAGCATATATGTCTTCATAAAATCAAATCCCTATTAGTGGCCATCTATCCATTCAATGCTCTTGAAGAAAGAGAGGCCAAAACAATTTTTGAAGAGAAACCCACCTCATTCTTTAACTGCATCATTGAATCATAGATAGCAAAACCTTCTGTCTCCATTCCAACCTGAATATCCAGCATGCAGAAACTACATCAAAAATTAATGTCCAATGAAAGGTTTGGGAGATAAATTTGTATGAGTACTACACAAACAATTAATTACCGAAAGGAGTGAGAGGACTCAAAAGAGAAACATATATATATCACCACAGCTGTGCCATCTATGTCATCTACAATGGTCCTAATTTGCTCATGACAAACCAAAATATTTTGTAATGCAGGAAATACCCAACTAGTCCTAAGTCTAACAACTCAATCTCCAAAATGATATATATAACTTTCTAGGTTGATGAAAGATTTTCACTATCCAAACAAAGCTAGGAAGTGGGATGCTTAAGTTCCCCTCGGGCTTGTTGTATAGACCAATCAGCCAGAATGATTCAAGGTTCTTGGTTTATGCCTTCTTGCACCACATTTCATGACCAAGGGCCGTCACAACCATTTGCCATGAGGCCTGAACGAGGGAACGCATAGTTGCATGACCCTGCAGGTGCCAATTGCCCTTTCTGTAGAGGAACTAACCATAACAACTTTGCTCACCAACATGAATGGGCACCTGACTAACTTGAGGCATCAGGGCTATTTCATTGGACAGAAGAGTCAACTCAGTTAAGCAACCCATCCAAGACTCCTCTCAGCTAATCTGACGGTAGAATTCACGACCCCATTGACCCACTCTTGCTTTCAGTTTTACTTGCCCACTTCCCACTTGTGCTGTGCTGAAATACTTAACAAAATCGGAATTTGTAACTCAGAAAAATGGATCGTGCCTTGAGACTAGACTCAACCTATTACAACAATATACTGATTTGCAAAAGCAAAGCATCCATATCCCTTAACTTTATAAACTTCCACACATTCAACATGTTCTTCATATAACAGAACACTTATCCTTCACAACTCTAAATTGAGGATAATCTAGCAGTGAAACAGATAGGTACCTCACAACAGGAACAGTCACCTAGTGTATCTCATTTCCAACATGTATCATATCACAAGAAGAAATGAGCTTACCGATTCACCATCATCACGGGTTGTTCCTGTAGAATTAATATAGATATAAATTGGTGCTTTTGGATCCATCCATTGCAAATACATCAATTCTGCAACAACCAGCTCCGTGACAGCAGCCACTAACTGAGACAAACAAATGTCTAACATATCAAACACATCACACAAACAAACTCACCTTACAAAGTACAAACCACATTATTACTTGGTACTAATCCATGTCAAAATGCTTCAAATTCAAACTCTCTTTTGCATGATTGAAGTTTTCCCTTGATAGCAAATTAAATTATCTTCACATAATGATACATGCTAGCAACTAGAAATAAAGTTAAAGGGTACTTAATTAGATATGTAAAAATTAAGACACTTACAGGCATGCCAATGTAAACAATTCTTCCATGTAGAAGCAAAGAGGGCAAATCAGGCGGAGGCGTTCTTGGCCTATGTTCGTTATAGGACACCGATCTTTCCACCTAAGATTTTCAATCAATAAAGATTCCAATTAAAAAAGAAAACTACTAAACGAGCACAAAGTTTAGTTTCTAAAACACTAAAGCCATGTTTGGTTTACTTGCAAATCAAAACCAAAATAAAACTTTGCTCCACCAGCAACAAAAGTTTCAACCGATAAAAAAAACCCATTACAGAATGAAATCAAAGAACTCATAAACACACACGAAAATGAATTCTAAAACACTACGGCCATGTTTGGTTCACTTAGAAATAACAGGCAGAGTAAACTCTTCCCTTCACCAATAACAACCAAGAACTTCTTACAGCCACTCACAGACAGTTCCAATTTCTATTCAGGCTCAATTATTTACAAGCATATTTAAAATCAAAACAAAAATAGAAATTGGTTCTCTTTTTAAGACCATGTTTGGTTCACTTAGAAATAACGAACGGAATAAACTCTTCGCTTCACCAGCAACAACCAAGAACTTCTTACAGCTACTCACAGACAATTACTTCCAATTTCTACTTAGGCTCAATTAATTACAAGCATATTTAACATGAAAACAAAATAGAAATTGGTTCTATTTTTAAGACCATGTTTGGTTCACTTAGAAATAACGAACGGAATAACCTCTTCGCTTCCCCAGCAACAACCAAGAACTTCTTACAGCCACTCACAGACAGTTATTTCCAATTTCTGTTTAGGCTCAATTAATTACAAGCATATTTAACATGAAAACAAAGATAGAAATCGGTTCTCTTTTCGAGAAAACCAAACGCGGTCTTATGAACTCACCTGAGCAGGAGTGGCCATGAGCTTGGGAGACTCAAAGATGTCAAGATACGGCGGCGTATCAGAACCGCTGGCGTGGCTGTCTTGAAGGAGAGAATCAGGAGAAGTGGCAGCAATTGAAGCAAGTTTCGACAGAAATGGGTCTTTAGGGTTTATTGGAGGCATGGGGATATTAGAAGAAGATGATGAATTTCTTGCATTAATTGAAGCAAAACATTTGATTCTGAGGTTGTCGATGGTGTTAGGTTTTAGCTTAATTGATTTTGAATATGAAGTT